GATTTCAGCGCTAGGATTAATTTCCCGTTCAAATAATAAAGGAATGATTTTTATATAGTTAAGAAAAATTAAAGCACTCTTTTTTTTTATGTCGTGATTCACTGAAAGAACGGGGCTAATCCCCGTTAAGCGCCTATAATAGCAGTCGATGATGAAACCGGAACCAGTTTTAATAACCAGTTTGACGTGAAAGAAAAAGCAACGAACTTAAGAATCAATAAAGGACCTAAAGGATCTTTCTTGTCGGCACTTGGATCTTCCCGGAAGAATAGATCTTCCTTTTCCGCCTCTTCCGTTCACTTTCGCAGTCGAACGAGTTGCTCGTTTCTTCGTCTTCTTCATTTTCCGGTAATAAATCGAATCGATGTATCGAAAGCTCTTTATATATCATCATACTTCTTACTGGTTTCTCTCGATTGAACAATGAAATATTTCATTTATTCGACTTTTCAAGTCAAAGTTTCAAGTTTATTAGATATGTATTTTGAAAATTATGCGTATATGGGAAAATAAACTTTTTTGCAATTCTGTTAATATTTTTGAACGGTGCTTTTCGTCATTATATAACGAATTAGCACACAAAGTTATGCACATTATTCAGTTTTCGACTAGGAACACTTAAAGAACACTCTATAAAATTCCTTTATGAAATGAATCATAAAAGTGTGTGTATGTTAATGCGTTTTCAAGGTAGAAACGATCAACCAAGATATTCAATTAAGAGCCCAGATAATGCGTTACATCGCTAATCGTTAAGAAATCCCTCGTTATATTTCCTCGAAGGAGAACAGGGAAAGGGGATGACGGTAAATCATTTATCTTATCGAGATTAGTCATTAACCTTTGTTCAATCATCAAGTCCATGTGACTTATGCGTTCGGTATCGCGGTATCTTGATGGCGCCGATGATAATGGTGTAAGTCAGCTTGATGGATGCGGGGGGGGGGAGGGGGGGAGAAACGCTTGAATAAACTTAGATAAATATTTGCGCTTCGCAAAAGTCCTTGTATTGTCGTACATCGTAAAGTTATTTTGCCATTAAACGATAATCTTATCGCGCATTGTTAGTTTGATCGGCGATCTTAATAATCAACGGTTATATCAAGTTTTCCCTTTAGATCCGAGATAATTTATATCGATATATTATGTCCAAAACTATGGCTATATATTTTAAAATAAGTCAATCGATTCCAATGACACGATCCATGAGATTATCGCCAATTTAGAAATATCCGATCGATCATACGTCGATCTTTCTGAATCGAAACGTGGCGGTTCGGAGTTCGAAGGTTTACTCGAGTCTTTAGGAGGAGCAAGGTTTACTCCAAGTACTTTTGTGGCGCATATAAACGACATAAGCCAACAGACGCGAGTCCAAAGAACCGCCGTTAAACTTTCGATGGCTGCTTTTTTCGATGCACCTCGGTAATTTGATTTCGTATTCCGCTACGGCGATCCTGCCTTTTCCCCTTTCTCTTTGTCTCTTCGGAGCGTAGATCGAAATTTTATGGGTCGTATTCTTCTCGTTTAACGCCGATGCTATGTCCGGTACGACGTCTGATTCCATCTCGCCTTTGTGCCGGTCATCCACCCTCTCCTGTCCACTGTCCCTCTGTCTATCTTTGCCTCCGTCTTTCGCCGCCTACTGCTTTTTTGCGCCATACGTGCGCGATCGTAAGTCGTCGTGTTGTCGTCGCGTCGTACAAACCAGAGATTAGTGGAAAGCGTGGTAAGGTCTCTGCTAAATGGACCAATTTATTAGACATTTTTATCGCCTAAATTACAATTTAATTTGATAAGAAATAGAGAAAATAAGGACGAAGAAAGAAAGAGAAGTTGGCTAACTAAATTTTCAGACCGAACGCCTTTTAATTTTGTTCTCGGGGAAACATAAGATACTTTTCTCTTAAACAGGATGTATCATCGAACTCAATCATCCGATTTTATCTTACTTTCCCGCGACTACTTTCGTGATTAGAGTTTCCGCAAACACGTTTGATTAAGAATGTCACGAGAGGGGCAAAATTCGCGGGGAATCGACGACGAGACAATGACGATCGGCCGCACGATGATGCTGCGCGGCGCCGAGCGAGGACGAAAACTCGTTTCGTGCTTCGTTGCGAAGGTTAAAACCGTAACGCTCCTATCCGCCTTGCTCGTATGCGAGCGCGGGCGCTGGCTGGACCGAGCTTAAACATCGACGTGGCCGGTCCCCCCTCGCCAGACCGCAATTACATCCCATAAAGCACGATTGAGACACGGTTCGGCCATTATTCTCCCATATACAGGGCCGTACAAAAGGTTCCCGCCGTTTAACGCGGCGACCCTCTCCTCGGTCGCAGCATGAAAAACGGAAAAATGCGCCCGTGCTTTTATCGAATGCATTTTCGCGGACGCTCGATAAGTTTTCTAGATTTGTAACAGCTACGTGAAACAGTTATATCTCTGAGGTCGAGGAATCTGGAGAAAGAGCTTATGTGTCTCTTGTTAGAAATTTATGGTGAAAAAAGTGTCGGAAAAATCTGCTCGAAGGAAATGCAGGAGAAATTGCGGGGGAATTTATTCGACGGAATGAGAATCGAGTCCTCGAGACTTACGCCCTTCGAAGGAACCGAAGGATTCTTTATGATTCGCGAAAAAGGTTACGAGCGAGGCAAGTTGATAATGGTAATCAATTCTACTCGATTCTACTTTAATCGTCGATCATTGACTTTTTCTACGCTCTCGGTCCCTATACGACCTTGCCTCTCGCCCGTTCCCCTGGTAATCGAAGAAACTCGAAGCACGTTTCGCTATGGTGCGATTATGCCGCCTCTTGGGACTTTATGAAGCAATTACCGCGGCACTAATTAGAGTAGGAGCGCCGGTTTGGCAGGACTGCTTCATTTTTGTCCGGGATGACGTGAGTGACGGGGACGAGCGAGATCAGAGAATGAACATCTTTCAGTAAATTTTCTTTCGATTTTACCGCGCGAAATTATGGTTTCATCTTACTCAATTTATGTCGATTAGAGAAGTTATGGTTAGAGGATTATACTCGTGATCTCGATAAATCAAAGGGGAAGGCGCGATCCTCGGTTTCTACAAAAATCAAGCGTTTCTTTTGATTTAATTTATTTGCCTCGTGCTATTCTTTCATGTGCGAATACACGTCGTGTTTCGTAATCATTGTGAAAAATAGGATATTTCTTTTTGAAGAAAGCAATTTTATTCCAACGCAGATGAAAATAGAAGAAACTAATTTATCCTATAAAAGCGAGTAGATGGACGCTCGTTAAAATAGATGAACTTCGCTGACGCAAGGTCTCTTCATTTCCATCTCTTTATTCATATGCGTTGCAAATCTCAATTTTAACGACACGCGACGAAGCTTTGCATAACGAAGAAAACCACTAGCGAGCGTGTCACGGACATGTCATTGAATCGGCTTAGCGAACGAGGAGCGAAATGAGGACGTTATATCACTCGTAAATACGAGCCTTGAGAAAAGCGCGCCGAATGCGGTCAGACGAAACCTTTAAAAGCGACGGAAGTACAGCCGCCTTTTATAATCTGTTCTAGTATGCTCTAGAAATCCCGTTGCGCCGCTTATCCTAGACACAAACATACATCATCCATTTAAAATTTCAAACAAGCGTGCGTATATCTTTACGATAAATGCGTATAAATCATAGATTAAATTTTTATACATCTTTCGCTAATATAGTTTTTCATTCGTAAAAACTTTTAGATCGATGTTTTTTGTGACGTAAGGAAAAAACGTTGAGGCACATCTGCCGCTAAACGTTCACGTCCGTTTTCGACGACATGTCAGCTGTTTTCTTTTTTTTTTCGCGGCTTTCCCATGGTCGACCGCATCTTTCCGCCCATCGATATAAGACGAGATACGGAGACCCACAATTTTTTTCTTCTTTTTCCTGTACGAAGCCTTTAATTTGGCACGTGTTGCACTCTTGGCTATTGTTGCCATGATTGTCGGGTTGGCGCGGCTGTCTTCTTTCGCATCGTCGCCGATCTTTCGCATGGCATAAGCGGAGTATATGGTGATAATGCGCGGTTCTCGAGTGTACTTGGCACGCGTTGTTGCTCCTCGCCGTCGCTCTTTTTGCCTATCTCGAGTCGTTACCCGCTAAATATTATAATACCGCGAGAGAGAGAGTGCTCTCCGCCGGTGCCGTCGATCGTCGCGAATATTGTTAACGCAATCGGGAATTGATTTTCCTCGGTCCTCGTTTGGTATTCATAGGCAAAGTGTAGTTCGTTGTATTATTCGTACTGCCTATGAATACCAAAGACATTGACCTAACAACAGCAATTTGTAGAAAAGATCCAAAATAATTCGCAGTCTTCAGATTCCTATTAAAAGATCTCAATGTTTTTAGAGAAAATATTGTTTTAGAGTAGGTACATATTAAATATATATAATTTTATATATACATAAAATTAATATGTGTGTATATATATATATATATATATCTAAAATTATTTTTTATGATCTTGTATGATTATTTAAAAAAATGTATATATATGTAATTATTTTATATAATCATTAAAAAAAGAAAAAATTATGCACTACAGGATTAAATAGAATGGTAAGTTTAATATTATTAATTCTCGCAAAATCCAAATAAATTTCAAGTTCATTAATAGCGTCTTTATCTTAATGTACGTTTCGTGAAGCAAAGATTAACGACGTTAATTAAATTAACATTTTGCGTCATGTGCATATTATAAGTGCGCGACGTGTAATATAAGTATTATGCAATTGTGTCGAGTCTCTCCAATTATCAAATATGAGCATGAGCATAATTGGAAAAAGAATGGCTTTTCCTTGCGAATCGACTTAGAAATCCTAGGCTTGAAGCTTACTCCGGAACGATCCCCGATATAGCGTGCGTTATGTTGCATGTATCGTACGGAAAAGTGGGGGTGGCGGGTCGCTTTGATCCTTTTTCGCGCGATTCACCCTTGCTTTAATATTAAAATTTCATGCCTTGCAGGAGCTGAAGGAGAGCTTCAATTACGGCCTCTTCTGTCCGCCGGTGAATGGAAAAGCCGGGAAATTCCTGGACGAGGAACGCCGCCTCGGCGATTATCCATTCAATGGACCTGTCGGGTACTTGGAGGTAAGGAAAAGACGCTCTCTCCTCTCATTTTCCTTATTTCTGTAAAGTCCTTTCATCCTCACAATCATTTTCACATTTCGATCATGCTAATTTCGTTCGTATTATATATTATAACAATACAGGGATGTGTTTATTCCATTCGCACGGCTATGTCGGTTTTAACGCATGGCAAAGGCTTCCCGTTTTAGTAGCGGAAGGGTTAAGTAGCTTCCTCGCGTGTACATTAAAGCTGTCAGCAGACCCACTTTACGCCTGATAGGATTTAGTTACGTCATACGTTTCTGAGTTATTCAATTATATTTCTCAATTGAATAGAGAAGATGTTACATTGTATAGAAGATTCTATTTGTCATTTAATTATCAAAAATATGACAAATAATATTTTGGAAAGAATATGAAAACAATACTTTTACAGTATTTTCTTACTTATTTCTTTTTTTAAGAAGCAGAGACACTTTCATAAATGATACTGGCAATTTCCTACGACAATATATTATTGGCTTTGACAGAATTTTATTCAATATTACGCGCGCGCGATGTTTTCAAGAAGATGTATGTAGCAGTTCTCTCTTCTTTATGCTATCTTCAATTTCGAGTCGAAACGATATACGCAACGAGAAGAGAAGGTCGCGGAAGTACGTATTACGTAATTAATCATCGCGATGATCCTCGCTATCCTTGCTGCACATAAATCACTCCGTGGTGTAGCGAATCGCGCATCTCGGGCCGCGCGATGACTGTTAAAACGGGGATTCGCGAAAAACAAATAATTCGGTCCCGGGTTAACGAGATCTGGATCCTGTCCCCTGGTTTTCTTGCGTAACCAGTGATAGTTCTCATCGCCCATCCACCTCGTCGCCTCGTTTCTTCATCTTCCTTCTTCTTTTATTCTTCCTCTTCTTCTTCCTCGGCCGGTCTCCCGATCCCGGTTGGTTCCACCCTGCCAGCTGCACGTCTCTGCTTCGTTGCGGGAGATTCACTTTCAGGGACGGCTGACTCATACACAACTTCTTTGAATCGTCTTTAAGCCGCATTCACCTCGCACGAGTTACAAATTATATGAGACTCCGTCGACGAAAAACTTGCGTTTAACAAACGCCTGTCAGCGGGATCCCTCGTCGGACAATGAGACCTCGTGGTTTTGAAAACTCTGCGGAGAGAAGTGTCACAAAAGCCTGAGCACACATAATACCCTCCTTACGAGATTCTTATTCTCTTCGCAAACATAGAGACGGGTTCTTATGGGATATCACGTTTCGCAAAGATCGCTTGTTATTAATATCGGCATTTCTGAAATGATAAGGTATGATATAATTTAATAAAATAATCAATGATAACAAACTTCTTGTAATATATAAATATTTTATAACACGACTCTCTTTTAGTATTACATGGCAACCTGATTAAATTAAGTAAGGCATTTAAAGTTGAGAATTAAATATATGTAAATGTAGAGTATAGTAGAAAAACAGGTTCTTTGAGAGATATAAGTTGAGCGAAAACTAAGATTATATTTTATTTTAGTTTTCCTTATTTAATACGCGATGGGAATAAAATTATTCGGAGGAGATTTCTTTACCGAGTAAACGAGAACGATATCCAATAAGGGGCTACTCATACATTAAGACGCGCCGGGACATTATTATCGGGGATGAATACGAAATGAACTTCGCGTCTAAATCGCCGGTATTTCGCCGGTAATATCAGGCTTCTGCCAACAAAGCTTTCTTATTACAATAATCGAATCCCCCTTCCCTGTCAATCTCAGACCCGCTTTCGTCACGAAAGCGCCGTAGTCGGACGAGGTCGGTTTCAGGGTCGCTTCGATTCAGTTTCTTTGATCACCTGACGAGCCATTCATTTTGCACGAGTTACGTATCGTCGAACAATCCGGGACAGGAGGCGAGACGTGGGCGAGACGAACCACTTTGGCGAATACGAGAATACATGAATGAAAAGTGAAAATTGACAATTGCCTGTCGGCGATGGCTGTCAGTCGCGAGAGCGCGCGGTGGAGAATAATTAATTGTCAAACACGCTCGTCGCGATCCATTCAAGATCAGCGTTATGCGTTAATCCCTTGTTTTCATCCAGCTGAAAGATAGAATTCGTTCGATACAAAAAAAAGAGAAAAGACTTGTGTTGAAGTTTCCCTGTAATTGTTTTTTTTATCTACTCCATATATATTGGCATTCCGTCGTTCCTTTTTAAAGGGTAAACAAGAATCTTTGTGATAAAATTTAATAACGCCCTCGCATTTCCCAATTTTCATTTTTCACCCGCAAAATTCGTTCGATAACCCTCTTCCTTCGTATAAGCAACACCGTTAGATCGAGTTCGCGTTTGCAACGCGATAAAGCCTAATCTGATGATGGCAGCGCGATGCACTTAAGCATCCAGCGCATTATCGTGCGCATCGGCATAGTAGTCTTTATATCGCGCTATTATTATTGTTTGTAACGCGGCCACGCGGTCATCTCGGAAAAGAAATCGCGCGATGGGTAATTCCTTCCGCGATATCTTTTTTACAGTGCAATTTTCAGCGAAAGAGAATCCGCGGTTAAATGGAAGCTGAAAATTTAGCCTTCAACTTGTATATAAATTAAATTAAATATTAAATTAAAATTTTCATGGATATTTCACAGAGGAGAGAAAATCTCGGGAAATTAAACGTCAGAAACGCGAATAAATAAAGAGAGAATCGTGCTTCATTATTAGTTTCCGGATATAGCTTTTGTCTAATAAAAATTTTATTACAATCTGTGAAAGATGTATAATATAAGAAAGATGAGGGGAGATGAGAGGATGGCTTTAGATTGAATTTTCGATGGAAGAAAAAGCGGAGGGTAGTCGGGTTCAATTTCCTGAAGGCGGAGCCTCTTCAGTGCTTTACGCATCTTATGTCACGTCCGGTTTATTGCGTATTCATCGATAACGGAGAAATGCGCGTGACGAACGTATTCGTGTGCAGTAGATTATAAGAAACGGCAATTATATAGCCGTCGAGGTGAGACGATCTTCGCCGATGAGATATACTTAACGATAACGATAGCCACGCTTGGCGATCTCTCGCGATGTATTTGCATAAGTACTGTACGGAGCTACTGCAAATCTATACCGCGACAAATTGCACGCGACGATCAGAGTCGGAGCTAAATATCTCTGTGGATATATCTTACTTCGCCGCATAATTTATGATTTTATTCAAGCCGCTACATCGCCGTGTAATATGGAAATAATTAGCTCGCCGAAGGATGAATTTCATGCTTTTACATGATGGAAAGCGAAGCGCCGTTCTGTAATAATAATCGTAACGATGCGTCTCGAGAGCACACAAGTGTCATTATTCTCAAATAAATTCCAGCTCAAATATAAGAGGCGGGTGTACAAGATGCTGCATTTGGATGAGAAACAGCTCAAGGCTATGCATACCAGGACGAATTTGCGGAGGTTACTGGATTATGTGCAGAGCAGTCAGGTCGAGAAGATCGCGAAGATGTGCAGCAAGGGATTGGATCCTAACTTCCACTGTCAGGAAACGGGAGGTAATTCGCGTACGCAATTGCAGCTGCATGAAAATTGCTAAAACAACCCGTATAGTCGCGCAGCGTGATTTTCATCAACTGCCCCGACTTATTCTAAAATATTTAAACAAATTAATTTATTTTAAATAATTCAATTTTTTTATTTTAAAATAAATTTATGTAATCATTTTATCGTACGGGGATAGATAACATTTTACCCGAAGTTTGGTATATTTTCAATATACAAAAATAATATAAATTACAAAAGAGCAATATTTTTTTTGTCTCTTGATGCTGAAGAAAAATATTGCGAATTTATTTCTCGCGGTTACGAAAATAAAAAAATTTTTTTAATTCTCATTTCAGAGACGCCGTTGACATTGGCAACTACCTTGAAAAAACCGTCGAAAGTTATAATTGCGTTAGTCAATGGCGGCGCTTTATTGGACTATCGAACGAAGGAGGGTCTAACGGCGATGCATCGTGCCGTCGAACGAAACAGTTTGGAGGCGGTGAAAACGCTATTGGAGTTGGGCGCCAGCCCGAACTACAAGGATACGAAGGGCCTGACGCCGCTCTACTATAGCGTTATTCACAAGACTGATCCGATGCTCTGCGAGACGTTGCTTCACGATCACGCGACAATAGGAGCGCAGGACCTCCAGGGCTGGCAGGAAGTTCATCAGGTTCTTGTTTGTTTTTGTCTGACAAATTTTCTGTGTTATAGATATAATGAAAAATTAATAAGAATATATCATGTCGCGAATATTTTTTTACAAAGCATGAATCTCTTGATAAAAAAAGTCTTGGTCTTCATTTCCTTATTTTTTAATGAAAGTTAAACAACCAGTATGTTTTTTAATTCTATTTTAAAAATATTAGAATTCATATATATTTTCTCTCTAAACTCGTTCTTCTTCTCGATAAAGCGAAATTTTGCTCGAGTGTCATTCGCAAATTCCCTCGTAAAAAAATATTCGAATCAATGTTTGGATTAATTGCGAAGAATGCAATTTGAACGATACGTTGAATGATTTCTGCGACTAATATCCGCCTACTCGCGTCGTATGCCCGCAGGCGTGTCGCAACAATCTCGTACAGCATCTGGACCACCTGCTTTTCTACGGCGCTGACATGAATGCGCGCAACGCGTCCGGTAACACGCCGTTGCACGTGTGCGCGGTGAATAACACGGACGCCTCGTGCATACGTCAGCTACTCTTCAGGGGCGCGCAGAAGGACGCGCTCAACTATGCGAACCAAACGCCGTACCAAGTCGCCGTGATCGCCGGCAACATGGAACTCGCCGAAGTCATCAAGAACTATCAACCGGAGGAAGTCGGTGAGTTATGAACGTCGCACGAAATGTCAAAAATCATAAAACTCGCGGACTTCGCGATGAGGAAGGGGGGGGAAGAGAGAGGGAGAGGAACGCGGGGGCGCGAGGATCCGGGCGCAGGAAACTCGCTTGGAGAGGCATGATGCTGCAAGAATAAACGACAGACGTTGACGATCTTCTTCCTCTCGTTTTCCTCCCCCTCGCGTCCCCCCCACCCATTTCTGCGTTCTTGCTTCTCTCTCCGGACATTGTTCCGTCGCTCTCGACGACCCTTGCTCGCGCAACGATGATAACGCGGCGCCGGTCGTTCGGTCCTTCCGGGATCACGAATGGGACGAACGGGCTCGGAAGACGGATAACCGTAATCTCATTACTCTCGTCGAGGTTTCTCCATATTCATTCGCCACACCCGCGACGGCTGATCAACGTGACTGTCCGATTCTAATCCTCTATTTGCGAACGTGTCCGCTGTTTATTAAATAAGTTAAAGATCGTTAATCAGACGGAAGGACATCGAGATTCAGCGGCAAAGGTTTCGCGATCTTTCTCGTATAATATTCCGATATAAAAATCGAGAAATCAAAGTTGAAATAACTTATCGAGAGCTTTTAATAATCGCTGCTTATCGGATTATCGGCGATATCTCGTCCTATATTCCGAGACTAATATCTAAGATATCTCGTTTGGTATTGTTTGCTAAAAAAAATCGCACGTGGTCGCGATGGTGTGTGACGTAACAAAGTTAACAGAGCTTATCTCTGATAACGAACGAGATCGTGGCTTAGAAATTACGATGTAGGCATTTTATATTGCATGATTGTAGAGCCGAGCATGGCATGAGCATGTTGCACGCTGTTCTTCTCGTATATAATATAGAAGTAGACGTTAGATAGGTAGCTCCTTTCTCGTACGTAGTTACTTATAAAGGGTTACCTCTCTGGAATTGTGTATATATAACTCAAGACGGGTTGTGAGTGTGACGTACGTATGTCAATGTACCTATCTATTTACTTGTGTCTGTACTGTGTGACGAGTAACGTAAAGGAATTTTACAATCATGTCATGGGAATTTTTGGTGGTGATGGTCGTGTATATGACGTCGAGTACATTTGTGATACCGAGGAGAAGTAAGGACACTACCTCTTGATAGATTGTGCTTTCCAGTAACTAATGGTACTGTATCTTTGATTCACTGTCGAATGGATCAGTGCTGCCAGATTCGCGTTACAAGATGTCATCGAGCCTCGATTTCTCGAATAAATAAATTTCAGACTTAAAAATTCATTGTCATAAAAATAAAATTTCAATTTCAATAAATTAAAAGTCACATATGGACTTGCCTCTGATTTTTATATCTTCGTTTTATTTATAATTGCGCGTAAAAAGTAAGTTGACTTTTGACAGAAGAGAGTTCTTGCTTATTAATAAATGAAACCTATCTTCACGCGACATTGATATTTATTCTCTGGCAGTATTGAATTTGTGCAAGAATGTCTTGACTAGTAAAATGTTTGGTAGTTCGAGATACGTTGTGAATCCACGTGACCTCACGGGGATCGTCGGAGTCTGTGGAGGCTGAGGGAGAATCCGAAGAAACACATGTTCCGACGATCTAGTGACGGCGACGTCGATCGTTTGTGCACATGACGTATTCCGACGAGACTTACCCGTATAATCTCGAGCACATTGTATCGCACAAAACGGATACAACGGAACGAGGATGAAGTCGTTATCCTTGCGTGTGTGGCTTTCTACCGCTTTTCCGTCTGTACAGAATGTCCCGGAATTGGCGAAACTGCACACGCAGCGCGTTATTTCCGGTGAAAAATTTCATTTCACGTTCCCTTAACAAACTTCGAAATTTCAGATATACACGTGACATTTCTGACAATTGAGTCGCGAAAATTAAAATCGCGTTCGAACAAAATTGTCACCTCGAATTAAACTTTGAATTCAACAATAATGTTTATCGGTATTTATTTTCAACCAAATCTCACAAAACGGATAACGCCGTACATCCGCTTTCCGTCGATTCTGAGACGACCTGTACACGCCGGCACGATAAAACGACGAGAGCAATACCTGGTTGTTCGGGGTTACCCGGGGAGAGAGAGCCAATAATCATCATCGTGAAGTAACATTGTGCGCGCGCGCGTGCCTGCGTGCGTGCGTGCGTGCGTGCTTGTGTGCAACACAGCGACCGCTTGTAAATCCGCTTTGCAAAAATCCCGCACGACGATCTTTCGTGACACCGGAAGATCGATCGTGGAGAACGGAGCTCCGAGAGAGAGCCCGAACGTAAAACTCTTCGCTTCGGCAAACATAACGTACACGATGTGTAACCACGCGACTAACACACCCGCGCGTTCGATAGAAGGCGGATAATAATGACGATCGATAATAAACGGTTGTCGTGATACTTAACACGCGCAACGCCAATTAAGTGATTTGTTCGATATCCGTTTCAGTCACGAAAACATTGTTCCACTACGCGACACTTACATGTGTAATCATTTTTAACCCTAGACAGTACAAGCGGTATCCGATGTGACCTTCTTCTGCAAAATTATTATTAGATTTCAGAACAAGAATTTAATAAATTATACTTAAAATCTTTTCTTTTTTACTGAAATGAAAAAAAAATTTGATTAAATTATTATTACATTTGAAATATAAATTTTATTTTAAATCATTTTAATATATCTTTAAAATTTTTTTTCAAAGTGAATTATATGCACGCTGTTTAGGGTTCGGCATAAATTGCGATCACACTATTGCATTTCGATTTTTTAACGAGCAAGCTCGACACAATTTTACGTTTCATCTTTGAAGAGTCGCGTCGACGTCTGAGAAGACAACGAATAGTCTCTTTCTCTCTTTCTCTCTCTTTATTTCTTTCTCTTTCTTTCTCTGTCTCTCTCTCTCTCTTTCTCTCTTGTAAGGCTAAGTAATCCTTTCTTTACTTAACCTTGCAACCCTTGCGATTTTCCAGTACCGTTTAAAGGGCCGCCACGTTACAACCCGAAGCGGCGCTCGGTGGCCTTCGGTGGCACTTCCACAATGATGACGACCAGCTGCTCAGCGAGTAATCTGGGCACCCTCACCAGGATACCGTCCACCGAACAACACGCGGCGGCGTCGTCTAGCGCCGGTGGTGGTACCGCTGGTGGTACTCTCACCAGAACCATCTCTGTGGAACAGTACTCGAGTATAACGCGAGTACCGTCCGCCGAGCAATACGCTACCGCCGCGAGCCTGAATCGAGTACCGTCCACGGAGCAACCGTACTCTCCGCCTCCACCGTCATCCGGCACGCTTGTCCGGGTCGCGTCCGAGGAAAAATACGCGTCGCCGTCCGGCGTCGTGTTGAGCAGAGCCTCGTCTAGCGAACGATACGACGCCACTCTGATCAGAATACCATCCTCCGAGCAGTACCCGACTGTTAGTACGCTGACCAGAGTACCGTCCACGGAGCAATACCCGACCGCCGCGGCGGGCATGAGCAGAGTACCGTCCACGGAACAGTATCCCTCCACCGGTGGAATCGCGATCGTTGGTCAATCGACCGAATCGGTCCATCACGGAAGCCTCGGCAGAGTACCGTCCGTAGAGTCGAGCAGAAACGACTTACCGAACCGAATACCGTCCGAACAGAACAGCCACCGACTAACGTCGGAGTACCAGAGTCCAAATCCCTTGAGAGATCCTAACGCGAGGTAAGCATTAGATGAAGAATCGCGCGTGCGTCGCCGATCACTGGATCACTGTGGCAAAATAAAATAAAATGAAACGACGCCTCGAGTTATGTCATCACGAGCGATGACAATCGACGCGGTACGTTCGCGATTGCCGATGCTTCACTCTGATCAGAATCTGACCATCGCATTTGTTGGATAACTAAAAGAAAATACACGTGCCACCGTGTGTCTTGGTTAGCGTTTTGATCAGCGCGAAGCACCGATCGCCGATGTACCCTAAAAGTTGTACGCACCGTTTCAAGATTGCCGAGTGGCGCGGAGAATTATACAAACTTGAGAATGGAGGGTCTGACGAGGCTGCAAGAGCACCGGCTCGAACTGCAGCACCGCCTCGATATGCACAGAACGCAGATGGAGATGCCGCCGTCACCGTCGCCCAGCAGCAGGAGCTTAGCGCCTTTCAGCTCGGCCAGTTCGAGCTTGTCCGAAGGCAGCAATCAACCGTCCGGCGAGGATTCGGCCAGCATCGTCACAGGTACACTAATTCTTTTCTCTTTCTATCCCCTTCAATTTCCCTTACTGTTCGATGATAAGGAAAGTCTGTTCCTTGATGATTCACAAGCTGCAGAAATCAACTCAAATATGCGTAGATACTCTGGATACTCTCTGAGAGGTAATCGAATCAACTACCCTCAAAGGTATGAGGAAGCGGACCTCTGAGCGAAAGTTTGTCGCGTGTGAAGCAATTAAACAATTATTAAATGCAACATCATCATGTGTATATGTAGTACCATCACCACCAAAAACCGACGGCGCGCAAAGGTGGTCGAACGACACGATGAGAGTTAGTCGGACGTTGGCTTTGATGGTTCGTGCATGCTTCCGTTTTGATGTCCCCGAGGATATTAGAGATCCCGAATTTAGTGGCTCCTCTTCGCGTGCGAGCTGAGTGAAGTCTTTCTCGCTCGAGAAGAGGGACACGCTGCGCTTAACATTCATTAGAGGCCGTCACTCTTACGGTGTGACAAATACAATGCGGCTGGCAATGTTTAGAACTCTTATTGCCGTCGTAGAGCATATTTTAGGCGAGTCAAATTGAATTAATTTTTATTTTTTTTTCCTTTTTTTTTTTGAGGCCAAGAGTGCGCTAAAGTTTTTATTTAGCGTTATGAGGTAGCTATATTCTTCCTCTCTTTCTTTCTCTGTCTTTTCTAAGAGATTTCGATCTCTTGCATGACATTTTATTGCTCGGTAAGGCGATGCGGATCCATGAGGCATCATCATGTTGAGTATATCCGACCGTTGTCGATTTTTAGACAAGAGCCTCGGTGACACAGCATCCGACGTAATCAGCGACAGTTCCGGGGTAGGAACCTCGCAGTCCGACACGACCAATTCATTATCCATTCCCGGTACGACGGTTGTCTGCGTGGAGAGCTACAACAGCGGGATCACCGGCCATCTGACTATCAATCAAGGAGACATCCTTGAAGGTACACCAGGAAATCCAACAAATGTATTCCTCTCTCTTCTTCTTTCTCGTCTAACTTCGTTGACTTTGATTTGACAGCGACGAGCGATGTTTTGTGATTTTCCATGTGTTTTCCGTAATTATCCTCGTGTTCTGTGACCGATGTGTTGGAATGACAACCATCTCACTCTATCTCTCTCGATTTCTGTTTTGTAGGTAACGCCCAGAAATATTATTCTGATAGCAAGCGTGTTTTTGTTTCTTTATTTTTAACAGTCACCGGTGCTACCGATTGCGGCCTCCTAGAAGGGGTCCTACGTGGACAAGGTACTGGTCTATTCCCCGCGCATTGCGTTCAGGAAGTCAGGCTGCGTCACACAAACATACCTCTAGGCCCGCAGCCCGCTAGAGACGGACGAAATCGTGTTCTAGGTCGCAGGGAGTCGCAGCATAAATACTTTGCTACCGCGCCTAGACTAAAGAAGCCGTAAGTTCAACGTTCGATAATATTCTTATACTACGTATCCACGATATCCAATATCATTCGTTGTATTTTTAGCGTCACGTCGGAACCTCGCACTGTTGTTCTTCACCGTTCGAGAAAAGGCTTCGGGTTCGTGTTGCGCGGCGCTAAAGCCACTTCGCCGTTGATGGAGCTAACACCGTCTGCCAGGTATCCGGCGCTACAATATCTGGACGATGTCGATCAAGGAGGTGTGGCCGATCTAGCGGGTCTCCGAAAAGGAGATTTTCTTATTCAAGTAAGATTATTCGCGGATATTGATTTAATCTTAAATAAGAATTATCTAAATAAAAATTATATCTGATATATTGATTATTCAAGTAAAGAGTGATAACCAAAATTCAACCTCGATAAATCATTGAGAAAAAAATTAAAAAATATATTTATATGATGTTATCTTTACACTTATTTTAACTCTTTTTAATTTTGTAGATCTAATAAGCTTCATAATTTTATATAATAACATTTTATTGTTTAAGATAATTCGCGAAATAATTCTTTCATGAATATTTCAGATTAATGGCGAGGACGTGACGACGGCCTCCCATGAACACGTAGTCGACTTGATCAGAAAATCGGGAGAGTTGGTGCGAATGACAGTGGTTTCGCCGGTGATTAGTCTTCCGAATTCTCAATCTGCGGCCGCGTTGCCAACTAGTCAACCTATCCAGAGACAGTATGCGACTTTACCGCGTAAAGGTAACAACAATGTAGTGATCGGTGGTACTCTCGGTAGATCTCCGGCTCCCGCACCACCACGAAGAGATCCGAAGACGACACTGAGTGTAGGTCGGGCGAGGGCGCGATCGATGGTCGCGGGATTAGGTAATAAATTAAACTCCGTTTTCTTGTGTACGCGCGCGAGATTACGGTGAGAATGAATATCCCCACCATGCATTCGTGTTTCTCTTGCAGAAGGAGGTGGCGAAAGGGACGATCGCGATGAAATTGCATCGACTGGTGCAAAGTCGAGCAGCGCGGAATCGATTCATATGCCGCAGCAGCCCTCAACTGGATCGAATACTGGCCAAAATACTCCGGTGCAACCGAGAACGGCCAGCATTCGATCGCGTCCAACGTCCAGCAGGATTACCGCTGCGGAACTCGAAGTAACTATCTCTCGCCCCTCCTGGGCCGTATGCGCGTTGCAACGTCCCTCTATCTCTCTCTCTCTCTTGCTCGATCACACTGAATCTATCCGTGCGCTCGTTGTCTCCGAATTGAATGGCATTTTGTGCACGAGACGAAACCGAGGCTTTAGCTTCGTCCTTTAATTTCTCTTCCAGGAACTATTTCAGCGGCAGCAGGGTAGCGCCAGTGGTCAGTACAGTTCGTCCATGATGAGCTCGTCTCACTTTCAGACTACTGGTCAGTCAACCAAGTCACATCCGTCGTCGCCCGCCAAGACCGGCAGGGTGTACGCGAGCGTAGCGGAAATGAAGCGCAAGGGCAAAGTAAGGATGACTCGCCACACTCTCAAAGTTACAAAGAGCGCTCGCGTTTCTCTTTTTAACATTTTTCTTATATGTTGATAATAAGCCCCCTTGATGAGAGCTGCCCTAGTGGATGTTCTTAATGGACGTTAACATGTTTGTTCATCTCATCCAGTAGTTTGATTGAATTCTCCGACGTCCCTTTAGACAACTACTTTTTGATGATTCCCTAATCTTTAAATAGATAATTTCTCTTTTCTCTACTCATTTTTCTCGTATAATATCTCCATGTCGAATAGTAATTTATTAAGGACCCTTAAAAAAATGTCTACCAGTGTTTGAAAGAGTCGTCCGGCGTTCGGTGAATCCTCTTCTCTTCTCTCTGGGCAATGGTAATGGTGGTTCTTTTCTTTTGCATGTATGTTATAGTTTGCGCGCAAGCCGGTGCGAGTGCACAGCAAGGGACGGTCCTGGTGTGGGCGAGACGACGAGGACCACTACTTATATTACTGATCCAAAATACTTTGTTTCTAGCTCGTCCGTGGCTTGCATGATTTCAGGTGACTAAGCCATTTGCTAAATGAAAAAGAAATCTGACGTCCGCGAGGGCGTTAGGTGCCACCTACGTGCTTCGTGTTCACGCCTCAAGTATGAATAACCAGTTGCGCATTTGCATTTTAATCAAGTTTTGCGATTTCCTTCAGTTCCTTATGTCGCTCTTCGGGATTGGTTCTATAAGCATGGAAGACTGACGATACGTCATTATCTTACTACGTGTTCTTCGCAGCATACGACAGTATTAACACTTAGATAACTTTTCGCAAGCAAGCAATGGTAATGGTAGTAGTGGGTTAGTGTTAGTTACGGTAGTTTGGAGTTCACGCTTAGCAGGAGTATGCTTCATTCTCATATCACATTTCTCCAATATTCCTTTCTGTGCCTTTCTGTATTATACTCTATCCTTTGTCCTTTCATTGATCCAGTTGTAAATTGCAATTCCTTAAACGAAAAAAAAATTACGCTCCGAATTTTTTCGAATTATCAAGGCGATGACGCTGATCATTCGCGAGTCGCAGTCTATACGAACCACTTATCCTTCCATTTACAGTCGCAATCAAAAGTGCGCTTCTTTGGCGGCTTGGGCGGAGGTTCCGATCTCCACAGAGACTTCCATAGCACGCCGGATCTCAACGTGCAGGTGCAGTCTTCGTCCCTTCTGGCGCCCAAGTGTCACAGAAGCCAGGAAGATGTGAATGCCTTGAGCGGTAGAAACGGACTTCCACCGCCGAATCATCCGCCACCACCTCCGCCGGTCGGACAAGTCGTCAAAGTGAATGTTGGCGCCAACGTGCCAGATGTCGTTACTCCAGCCTCGGTTTACGACAACATGGCGCACATCCAGCAAGTCAAAGGTAAAAAACAAGGTACAACGTATCTTACTTATAGCGTCACTTTCTTATGTTAAAGTGATTAATCGTAACAAATTAACTTAATATATTTGTATAATAATCCTTATTGCATCAAGACGAATATTGATATATTTATTTTCACAGAACTCGCGGCGGCCACGGTCGAAGGTGGTTACGGAGTGATGTCGAGCTTCCGACCCTCTAATAGTGCAAAATTGTACGCCTCGCCGGAAGATATGAAGACTGTCGGTTATCGTTCGCGTAGTCTACCAGCTAATCGCCCGCATCTTAGGAAATCTCACAGTCTACGCAATCCGCCGAACAGCTCAATGTTCAAGTCAACTGGTAGTCAGCAAGCACTGAATAACAATGTTGGTAACATGAACAGCAATGGGAATGGTAACAATCAGTATGCACAACCGTTGAAGACTACCAGGAGTCACAGCACGGCCGGTATCCGCGAGCGGAAGAAGAAAACTGTTATCTTGAATGCTAGCTCATCCGTCACGAATCTCTCATCGATTGCGTCCGGCACGAACGGAACGACCGTGCCGCCTAACTCGGCGCCACCAATTCCCGAACCAGATTATAGCCTGTCAGAGTCGGAAAATGATGAAGGCGAGGACGACGAGACGGATGAGGATGGTGAGTCGGAGATTGCGAAGGAACTCGAGAAAGCGGCGGCGCGGGAAAAGCTGGAGGCGACGCGAGAAACATCCGGTAATTCCAACACGTCCGGCTCAAGCTCGTCGGGCAGCGGCTCGTTGCCACATTCGTTCAGCGTCGAGGAGATCCAGAAGGTGCGCACGCAGCTCAAGTCATCCAAAAGCCACCCGAATGACTTTCTTCTACAGACGCAGCAGTCGCTCGTCGAGGACGGCGACAACAGCTCGAGCGGCGTTAGTTCGGATCAGGACGTGCCAGTGGGTCCGCCGATGGGCTTCGACGATACCGCCGTGAGGAATCTGGCCAATCAGGAGAACAATCAGCACTTGGGAGGCGCGGCTCTACTAACCGGTATCAATCCGATTGACAAGGAGAGCAATCAGACCAAACGACCGGGCTATGGCGGCAGCGGTTTATTGACCAGGCACGCGGTCAGTCTAGCACAGTTGCCACCGCCGATTGAGGCAGACGCCGAGGAGCAGAACAACGATTTATTTGTACCGCCGCCGCCGGAATTCAACGCTGGTCCATCTGCCGGCGGCCAGGATCAGGAGGTGATGGTATTTGCACCGCCGCCGCAATTCTGCGATAACAAGCAACATCAACAGCAGCAACAGCAGCAGACCGCTTCGCAGAACCGGGTTAAGATAATCGGCGCGATTCCCAAGGTTGGCGGAAATCAGGTGAAGGCGTCAGGCGGAAGGGCATTGCCGTAAGAGAAGAATCCGCCATAGATTATAGCACGGATGTCTTCGCGTATGTCTTTGCTGCGAGAATAGAAGAGAGTTTGCAACGTAATCGGTAGATCGCGATTTCAAAGTCAATATATTTAGAGGTTTTTCTGCCTTTTTGGTAGTGTAATCGCCGCGCGACGAGCATATTAAATTTGAACTATATCGCTGAAAAGCGATGGATAGTCCATGCGGGCGTGCTGTCATATATAAAGCGTGGTCGGTTTGGACGACTTTTTGCTAAGAGTAAATTCGTATTCTAATCGAGCGTTTAGAAGTCGTAGGATATAAACGCGAGGAGATAATCGCGAGCGCGTTTTTACCAAGTAAGTTTACGAGTGTGAGCATACGTCCGATTGCACTGCAATGAAGGATTGGTTTGTCGCATACGATCGATCATAATCGTTTAATTGTCCTGTTTGTGGGCAAAGATCCAACAGATCCGGAATCCGATTCGCTATATCATAGAAAAAAAGAAAGAAATACCTAAGGGCAGGAAAGAGCGAAAATCCGCACATTGAAGAAAAGAAAAGAAAAGGACGACCAAGTCAGAAAAAAAGGAAATGCGTGTACGCGTGCATGAATCGTGACGCGTGAATGTGCGATGCATATCGATTTGTTTTTCATGTTTCTATCGAACTACGAGGTATGTTTTAATACTTTTACACATGACACTCTTTGTCTCTCCGAACGCGGATAACAAGGAATATAGATCGAGACAAGTTTTTTGCAAATCGCTCTTGAACCAATTTTAAGCAAAAGTATATCGCGACAGTCTCGCTCACTCTCGATCCACCAGCGAAAACTGATATGGTCGGCCCATGATGGATCGATATAACGATAATGCGTACACTCACATAATTGATTAGTTGTTAATATCGAACACGCGCGGGTTTTTTTTTAGTTTCGACTAGCATTTTCTCTCATGTCTAAGACACTGCTCAAATGCCTAATCACAAACTCAACTCGCGAAGTCATTAGAGATTCTGACTAGTTTGTAATTGCAAATATTGTTATTATTATTAATATTAGTATTATTATATTATTATATTAATATTATTATATATTAGCATCGTTATATTGTAATCATACGGCGACTATGGCGTTTCACTAACGAGCCCTTCTCTCGATAAAACGTAGTCGCATCATGCGCAGAAATGCGCAGCACTATACTTCGTTATACTATCGCACCATCTCACTATTCCAACCTGTGTAAAGTAAAACCCCATACTCCTTCCATTCGTGTCAGAAACTTCCCTTGAGCCAGGAGACTTTAAATCCTTTTTTTTTGCATCTGTGCGTTTTTTCTCGAACTAGTTCGAGGATCGAGATTGTGGGCGGAAAACTGGCGGAATTTTATTCGACGACTCGAATTAAATTCTCGAATTCTCGTGCAAGTTCGTGAATCGAAATCTTCCGTTTGCGAATTAATCCGACCTCTTGATGTACATACGCGTTACGACTCGCAACGCTATTCGCAGATGCAACTGCGACTCGTCGCGAGTTTGTAGGGTCTTGCGGCTCTTGGGGTGACAGTGCTACATATTGTATATATATATTATATATTGAGTAATGCGCGTTGTGTATCCTCGAGTATCTCTATAATTACAAGCGATCTTCACATTACGTTTCATCGCATTTTCGCTATGTTAGATCTATAAGCGATCGAATACCTTCCTTTTCCCTTTTCTCCCGGATCATTTCTATGCGCCTTTGCGAAACTTGAGAAAAAGAGAGAAAAGAAAACTCGCACTTCATGCGAGCGCACGTGAGTCGCCGCGTGGTTTTTGGAAAAAGCCGAATCGTATGGTTTCAAACGATGTTCCTCCGATAATATTTTATTTCGTCGTCGTCTTTTGATACAAACGCCAACAAAACTCGACACAGCGTAAGAGTATTGAGTATATACTCTTGGATATTCCTTGAATATTTGGTGATTTCAATATAATGATCTGAATATTTATTAACGCCCTATGCATGAAGATGTTTCAAATGAAAATTATATGAAAATGATTTATGTAAAAAATGCAAAAGAGAGATGATATCGAAACAAAATTAAAAAATAGGGAAGTTATAAATGTATCTAGCGTATCCAGTTTATTCATCTCGCACATTTATTTTTCAGAAATTCGGTTTTTTAATAAATGATAGTAATCCGTGACTATGATTTATTAAAATTGTATTTTTTAATAAATCGTTAAAAAAATATTTAAATTAATAACTTTTCCATAAACTACTTATCCAAGAATAAATAATGTAATATCCGATAATGAAAAAAAAAAACTTGAAATATCGTAAGATATTCAATGAATATCCATTGTATATACATCTGGATATATGCTATTGCGAGATTATCAACACTCGCAGATTGGTGCGAACAGTACACGTGTATCACGACGCACTCGGCACGAAGAAGATCAACGGAGAGGATTGATCGAGAGGCGAGGCTTTACTTTTCTTTGCCGTGCACCGGATGCGCGCGCGATGCACGGTTCACGGCCGAGATATTATTATATAATTACGACATTCCTGCCAAAAGTAATATATATAGAGAGTAGTCTTCTATATTATATATATATAAATATATAATATATCAAAATTTACGAAGAAACAGAAGAGTTAATATTGCGTACGTCTCTCTTGCGTGAGAGGACACTTTGTAATCTATAGTTCCAATTCTCCACCCCTTTTCCCTCCTTTCTTTCTCCGGCGTACCCTCGTTTTTTTCTCCGCGTCATACGATCGATCGTCGTGTCGAAATAAATTGCATTTTTGCGATGTCATCCTGACGAAGAGTCATTCTGGAAATTGTTGCATGACGTACCCAACGTTTGTTAAAATCTGTCAGTAAAGTATTTATATATGTATAGTATATGTATATATATATATATATATATATATATATATATATATATATATATATATATATATAGACTTTTTGTTTTTCGCATGAACGGGAATTAATCGGTCACGGAAAATTCAAGAGAAGAAAGAAAAACATGCGGCTTTGAAATTTCATGATTTCTAATAAGTCCACCGAATTAATCAATTTCTTCGAAAATCTGCGTGCTGAGATAATTCCCGTTCACGAATTAATTTTCATCCCTCGGGGGAAGCGTGGCGCGTATACAGAGTGTACCGAAAGAGACGTATATCTCTTCTCCCTCCATTTTCCAAGGTCTCTATTCGCGATTTTCTCTCGGTTATGATTTTATTCGAATTATTCATCTGTTGTAAATTTTCATGTTGGATGTTTAGTATCGTAGAATAATGACCGATCGAGTGCGAACGAGAAATTTACGTCGTCTTTACATCTCGATTCACTTGAAAACATTTTGAATATTCGTTTGGCTCGATGATGAAATTTTCCGTTGGAATTGGTTTTCGATGAGAAAGAATCGAGTGCGCCAATTTGACGGGTAGAAATAAAGGACTTGTTATGCGTTCTTCGAGACACCCTGTATATATCGCGCCACGATGAGAGTGCTAAGAAGAGCCATCGAGAACCGTGATTCGATGATCGTATATCGCGATCGACTGAACTTTTCGGAACCTCTCTTCATTATTTCCGAGCACTATCCTGATTATCTTGATTCTTCATTCATCCACCTCTCCCTGCCTTCCTCATCTCTCCCCTCGTCATTCTTCATATTTAGTTATCACTATCATTAATCTTATTATCAGGCAATTATACTATTAGTATTTTGTATTATAAGTATTGTATTGTAAATTGCAAAAGTACGTGCAATGTTCCGACGATGAATAATAATCGATCATGTTCAATTAATGCGGCTGAAATTTAATCTTTCTCTTTACCTTCGCTCCTTTGCGTTAGAAAATAATGTATATAATTTCATACATATATATATTTATCCTTACTTTTTTTTCTTCTTTTTTTACAAAAATGTTGAATACTTATTACAAATGAGATCCAATCCATTTTTCTACCTCAATCGCCAAAAGTCTTAAAACTTATAATGTTAACGCCGCAAATAAATTATCTGGCAACTTATAATTAAATCGCAAATAAGTTTTATGGGTCCAAACAGAATATATAATAGCAACATGAATATTACCTCATTTATGCGAAGATTATATATATCTGGCACTTTTTTTTTTTCCTTTAAAATATCTAGAGAACAGAAGGTATTAAAAAGTAAAAGAACAACGAAGTACGATATCGTAACCGTGAAATTATTATTATTTTCTTACAATATCTATCTCTTTAATGTTCTGTTCTTGAGCTATAAACCGTCATTCGTGTTTGTGTACATGAAAGTATCCAAAAAGACAAAGCACTGTTCGACGCTCAGATATTCCTCTCTCGTTCACCTCTCATTTTCACTCGGGCTTCGAAAAAAATTTCCGCTCCCGCGCTCTCTCTCTCTCTCTCTCTCTTATTATTAGCTCTATTACTCGGCTTTATCTTCTTTCTTTTTCTCGTAGAACCACTATGTGGATTATAATGAACACCGGCGGTGCTTTCAACGATCGGTCGATCCACACAATGAACGCTTGTGGTTGTCTTTTCTTTTATTATTATTTGGCAGTGCGAAACAACCGTGCTAATTATCACGTTTTTCTCTTCGCTACGCGATGTCGAGTCTTGTCACGATATGAGAAAAGCATATCAAGCCTGTGTATCGATTTCGACGAGGCGGCGAGAGAAATCATACGAGATCCGTTTCCGGGGGCAGATTCCAGACTGACAATGAGAATATTTCACACGATTATTTTACGGTCGATTCTCGTCGCTTCGTCCACGTAGCGAGAGAAAAAAATCGCATCCCTCTTCTCAAGACTTCAAGAATCTATAGGGCTCTCGAGATAATTGAAATTGGAAATTAGATCGACAAGAGTCGACTCACCAGCTTTTCGTCCCGCGCGTACTCGTCGAGTTTCTCTCTCTCTCTCTCTCTCTCTCTTTCTCTCTCACTCTCTCATACACACACTTTTTCCCTTTTCCTACACGCTATAAACCATATTAGTTTAAACTATGCAATATATTTTTCTACTTTTATACATGTACAAGCACTTTTCTAACCGAAGCGATCTCGCGAGGCCTTAATTATATTAATTAATTAAAAAAAAGAGTTCGGTATATCGTAATAAGCACAATGAGAATGCTTATCCCATATTAGATATTAGGTATTATCTTTAGTAGCTTTCGTTATACGCTATCAAAAGAAAATAAAAAAAAGAAACATAAATATGTATAATTAAACAAAATTGATGCACTTTGAATAATGATAATTAAAATGTGCGGCGAAAGTTTATGAAAATTTTTTGGGAATTACTAACGAGTAGAAAGACATTGATAATACTGATAATATAAACAAAATCACGATATTTCGTGAAGAGAATTTTACAAGCGGCCCTCGTCGCGATCGCTCGACTCCCTCTCTTTCTCGCGTCACGCTTTTACATAGAATTTATAATAAATGCAAACACTATATCTGTAATAAGCTATACTTATGCACATATCTCGGGGAGTCTTTGTATGTCGCGTTACATTCAATTATTTACAATTCCGAGACAATTCGGAGACTCGGCTGGAGAGAGAAACCCGTGGAAAATTATATTTTCGCTGGGTTCGCTCAAAATAATATCCGACGCGACCGTTTCCATTTAACTGATTCTTTTCTGTTTATACATTTACAAGCCTTGTAACTTCAATCGACAAACTACATCCTCGAAGCCGACGTTCGGGATCGACGAAACTGGCAAGTCGTTCCGAGACCGAGCCTTCGCACGTTTGTAAAGTGTAAATCTTATTCGTTCTTTCGTTCATCAACGCCGTGTGAGATCCTCAAATTTGCATATGTGTATGTTTGTAGAAATCCGTTCTCTCTCTTTCTCTCGACCTATGATGCTTCGAAATTCCACGCGAAAATGTATGCAGACCTTCCACTCGCTCTTATGTGAGTATTATTGATTAATTGTGCAATGCATTTACGAATATCTTTGTGTAATCGAAGTCTTTTGTATTTTTTTTAAATCTCTTACCACAAATATATAAACGAAATTTGAATTTATTATGTGAAACGAGATACAATCAATGTCGTTGAAACGTTTCAATTTTTATTTTTGCCGTTTTTGGCGAGATACTTGTATGATTACCTATTATAAGTTTTCGTGTGAATCTATTGGAGAAAAAGACATGAGATATACTTCTTTGTGAAAAAGATACTTTCTGTATATGACGCTAATCTGATTATATTGGTGAAATGTAGAGTGAAATTGCGATCAAGTGGATTAAGGAGAATCTCACAGGTGAATTTTTTTTCATATTTCAATCGTCTCTGCGCGTTTTCTTCTAATTTTTGCAAAAATACGTTGCCCGTATCTCTCCCTGTCTCTCTTGCATTCTTTCTTACACATATATATTCACATCATTCTTTCTCTTTCTCTTCCTCTCTAGCGCTCTCATCACTTCTTTGTTAATTACGGCTAATGATTTTTCTTTTTCTCTCTCTCTCTCTCTCTCTCTCTCTCTCATGTTCTCTCACGCACCGTCAAAAAGATGTAAGTCTATCGGCGTACATATATTTAGCGTGTGCATGTATACATGTATGTGTGTTCAGTAAAGTTCTTTTCAAAATCGCGATAAGAAAAAAAAGGAATGGGTGTCCACGTATTTCGCTTCGCTATATTTTCTTTCATTCTCCTTTATATGTATATAACGCTAATACAAACTTAATTATATCTTACCGAACACTTTATAGCGTTTCTAAACGTACGTCCATATTATTTAGTGCATTGCGTGGATTAAGATTTAATTCTATAAAAAAACGCACGAGCATACATATAAAAAACAGAACCAGAAATCATAGAAACGAGACGATTTCCGTTTCGAGTCAGACTTTGTGCACTAGAAAAATGTATACAAATCGTTTATATGTTGCTTTTATTACTTCCCTCCCTTATTTCGTTTTCAGCCTTCCGTCTCTTTTTCACATTATTATTATTATTATTCTTATTATTTAAAAAGGATCTATATCGATAATTTAGAATTATCAGCAGGCCGATGTGAAATGATGATAAATACACGAGACGTTACATTTACGCGTGTATGACTGAGCCACACACATATATTTTCTTTGAATATTTTTCACATGTTTACATAGAAAGTAATTTGTTCGCTGCAGACTTTCAAGCGCGCCAAAATCGCGACGAACGAGACCGCCATGTGTGTTGAAGCATTAAAAAAATCTTTCAATTAAATGCAGTCGGTTCGTTTTTCTTGGCAATGAAACAACGCGTATAAATCTTAATTACGATTAATTACAAATGAAAAATACAATAACATACAATACTTAAAATGTCGGAATTAGATTCGCCAATCGTATAATTATACAATGCAAGCGACCTATACAAACGTATTTATTCGCAACTCTCGAATAAAGTTATATAAGATCCTACCGAAGCTCGTCGAAAAATGAATCGTGAAACTTAATCCCATGTTTTTTGTACCTTTCTGTGACTTTTGTATTGCCGATTCGCTCAAAGTTAATTTTATATATTGCGAAAAATAATTAATCATAATTGGAAGGAAATGTCTCTCTCTCTCTCTCTTTACGATTTGTTGCGATTCTTCCATTTCGTGAGATCAAGCACGATCGAGTAGCCGAAAGCTCCTTTCTGTCATCTCACCTTTACGCTTATAAGGAATATTACCAAAAAATTAAAAAAAAATGCACCTTAATAACTAATGGAACCTCCCTGCTCAGTTCTTTTTCTCTCTTTAATAAACTACATCTAAAAACTCGCGCGTATAAACTAAAAAAGAGTTTTGAAACATGCACGATCGATATAATTTGTATTTTTCAATTATAATCTTAAATATGTCTTTAAAGAAAAAAAAAAGATTCTTTCTATATCGATAGAAAATAGCACATGTCTAAAAAGTGGCGGACAAGTTTCCACTTGCGTAAAAAATTGGTCCCTTATTCGATCGATATTAATTTCGACTGATAGCGACAATTCGTTTTACACGAGCAGAGAAAACTTGTAACAAAAAATTGACAAGGTGAGAGAACAGAAATAACGATCGGGACAATGATCGCGCCACGAAAGAATAAAAATAGGCGATGAACATGATTGAATCAGATACGAGAAAATATAAGACAAAGATACAAGAAGCAAGATGTAAATATAAGAATGCAATTAATTCTCAAACACATAGATATGATGTAGATAAAGTACATCGAGATACAAAGCATCCTTTAAATGCTTCAAATATTATTCGGAGATTTAAGAAATTTCTTTGGCCTGTTCTGTCATTTACATCGTATCTCATGTTTTAAGATGCATCAATACTATTATATTTAATTTTGCTTCTCAAATCTTATTTTTATATCTCATCGTGTCTCAGCCCGAAAATGTCAATCACATAAAATGCATGATTATTTCTCACGAGACCTCATATGGCATTGTCTCGGAAAAAAATCGGATCGGTTTAAAAATGCGAGTAGAACTCGTATGTATATTTGTCTCTTGTCCTGTTCTATATGTCCCGCTGGCAGTGCTCGAAAAAATTTGGCAGTTATGCGATACGTGAGCTCTCGGGGATTACCGCTGGTCTTAAAGAGAAAATTTAAAAGAAATCTGTCAAAGAATATTAAATTTTCTAAAATTATAAAAATGAATGAATCGAATTAGAACGAAGCGCAGATTTAGGATATGAATTATTAATCTTTCTAAATATATACGAATTAACGAATACATAATATATAGATGAGAAAAATAATTTTTTGTTTGAATTAGATTTTTCAAAATTACTCTATCTACTAAATTATTATATGGTGAATTTTTTTTTTAAAAACGATGATATATGCCCGAAGGATATAAATCTGGAAAATGAACAGTGGCTAGCGACTAGGCCGTGGGTGTGTAAGTATATATAAGAGAAAAGGACCGCGATGAATGAGTTTGTTAGAAGCACGACGCAACGAACGTGCGACAGAGAGAGATTCTACGTTAGTAGAAGCGCGTCGTTAAGAACGACGGAGCTGGCAGTGCGTGAATTTTGGCAGTGACGCGTTTTTTCTTTTGCATTTTCCGGTGTCGATCTTTCGATTCCCTCAAAAAGGAAGGAGCGATCCTCGATGTCGTCCTCGCGGGAAGATTAGCCGAAGATCAGCCGAAGATCAGCGGATATAGAGAGATTATACCGTTTTCTTTTCTCTTTAAATAATTGTCCAGTACTCGCCAAGTACGACGAGCCGCGTGACTTGCGAGTACAGGATTCGCACAGTGTAATATACCGTTTCATTACGATAATTTCAACTAAGTATTTACATTTACAACACGCGCATTCGCGACGCGCAGCTCGGAAAAATTAATTGTAAATCCATTAAAACACGTGCCTCGCGGAGTGAATGCAACAACGATGCTGTTCTCGAAACAGCTATCTCTTACGATGCATTGTCCACCCACGCGCGTCAGCTAGAGATCTATTCGGTTATACACTTATACAATCATACCTTTTTTTAATAATAGTAAGAATAATTATATAATCGATTAATTACCGTAGAGCTCTTAATTACAATCGTATTGGCAGTGTTTCTTAGCTGGTGTGTATGTAATGACGTACCGTCTGTCTGTGTGTGCCTCATACGGTCTCCATTTCTCACAGTCGCTCGATTATTCTCACTCATATATTTCGTCTCTTTCGTTCTATCCATGTTTTTGTATCAATCTTTCACTCTCATTCAACACACACACGACACGATACATATCCGTCTCCTTAATTTAACGAGCCTAATTTACATCAATCTTTATTCGCTACACATTCGCTACATATTCGCGCGCGGATGTTGCTTCGCTTCACGATGCTGCGAGAAACAGTTGCAGTCACGAAAAGAATTGCTTCGTTCTCGCAATTGCAACGGCTTACTACGCGAATCGCGAACACGATGCAAGTCGCATTCTTTGTTCATGTTCCCTTCCGCATTCTTTCTTTAACAGCTCCATGGGAAATGTAACACAGCCTTCGTAATTTACCCTTTTGAGGATAACAGCTCAATTGCGATCGCGCTGCATGTTTAGCTACTTTCGTCTCTCTTCATTAGATTGGCAGTAGATTGATAAAAATCTCGCGAGAATAAACTTTTGAGTCGCGACGAGCGTATGTCAACATGCCGCGCGAGACTCAGCAGAAAGATAAAAATAACGCGACGATGTAGTACATGAAAAATCGAACACGTCTCGGGTGCAGAAACGAGGCAAGCTCGACATCCTCTTTACGAGAATTCGCTTGCCTCAAAACCCTGAGAAATAACTATCTCTTTTCCTAAATTTTTTAGTTTTGTACATCGCGTCCCGTTTCTAGGAAGAAGAGTAATTCTCGAGAAAAATCTCGGTGGCGTAAGTGTCGTCCGATTATTCCGCAATCTTTCAACTTCATGCCGAGCTTTCAAGCTTGAAGACTGTCAGCCCCATTCAGGGAAAAAACGGCGGGTTCGAAGCAATATCATTCAGTCTCTCTCTCTCTTTCTCTCTTTCATTCTCTCATTTGTTCATTCATACTATCGCATTCTCATCTAACAGCCTAAGCCTCCTCCGCGATTTTTTCTCATTCCTCGATACAATCTTCTGTGTCACAAGCTTCACGTTGTCCACGATCCTCTTCTTCGTATCTTCCTCTCGTGTCCTTCTTCATATCATTGTACGACGACAGCCGACGCGAGTTTCTACCGAGTTGTAAATCGAAGTAGAAGTAGCTTCTTTTTTTTCTCGAGGCATCGTAAAGGTACTATCAGTTCTCGGAAATACCAAGGGGCCAATGTTAGATATTAATTGAATCCTAAGGCCACCAGAGTGATTATCTCCTTATAAATTGTAACTACCGCTTAAACATTTTGTCTGTGCACTCCCTCGGTTTCCTTTGGCAAAACCAAATTACAAGAACTTCTCCTTTACTGCTTCCTTTCTTCATTTTTCGCTTTTTTGTCTTTGACTATCGATACTACCATTTCTACCGCACATCCTTGGGATCTTGATCGGCGATAGAAAACGGTACAAAACGTATCCACGATGAGGCACTTTTGAGGCCCAAACTTGGCACTTCCGAGGCCGACGAACTTCGAAATATGCGAGGTACTTGTGATCATAGAATTTATCGCATTAATTAGATGTATCCTTCAATGTGTGAACGATGACGAAGAGTATGCTCGTTACAACCTCGTTAAAGCAATGGCTCTCGTCTGACTCAAACAGGGGACGGATGATCATATCCCTCTTTTGTATTATATCCTTCCTCTAGTTGTATTATATCCTCCTTTTTTCTTATCGCTAGTTACACTGTACGCTATCCGATTCATTCTGAACTTATTATCTTTCACGTGACTTTCTCCTTTCTTCGCTTCTTATGTTCTAATCGATCTGGATTCGCAGAATTGGTCGTTCTCCTAGATTAGATATCTTCTAAACGTGCGCTCCGTTTCTCGATACATTCGGGTATTTTCAGGTCGCATTGGCGGCGGCCTTCGTCTTCACCGACCAGGAAGAGTTTACATCGTGTCCTGCTCGTGTCAATCAGCAGCACTCTGTTCTTCCTCTCTGGTTCAAGTGTAAGCGCTCAGGTTAGATCAGTTCTGGTATCCGGTTGATTGGCCGACATTATCACGAATTTTTCACTGGTTTTCGACGTTGCTTCACTCGCGTCGTCGGTGGCGCGCGACCACTTACCGCTGGATAGAGAGCCAAACTCACCTCTTCCGAATGACTGGTGGCCACCTTGCGAATATCTACATGCTTCGTTCTTTGTACTTCGGATTCTAGTACCCATTCGTCCGGTTCTCTGTAGAAAAAACGAGGAAATTAATAAGTCACATGGCACGTAATTAAAGTTTTTAATTATTATTAGATTGCGAGAAACTTACATATCTTGGGGATGCCATCGCAGCAGTACTTTTGTCTTTCCGTCCGACTCAACTCTCCTCGCTAAAACCTGGAAGAGAAATTTTTCTTAAAGCGAATCTTAATCGACAAGTTTAACTAGACATTGCGATGGTTATATTCGTAACTTACTTGACTAGTTAGTGCCATCGAGTTTCCTGGCGTCTCAGCTAGTCGCCCCTGCGTTCTCGATGCTGCTAGTTCTTGTAGTCTATGTTGAAGACCTTCCATCACTCCCGAGTCAAAATAATCGAAAAATCTCGCTGTAAAAACATTATGATATTCAACAATGAGCATCAAACATTTCTCACCCTATCAATTTTTTTGTAGTGAAATATATTACTTTAAAAAGAATAACTAAAACTCGCGAAAATAGCGCTGATGTTAATGTTCTAAACGAGTTTAAAAAATTAGATTGTTTATGTGTATTGAAGAGATATTATAAAGTGACACGTACCAGACCAAGGTTGTCGCCTATATCTAAGCTTCTTGCCATTCCTTCTAACGAGTTTGCCGCCATTTTCGCAACTGCGTCTTCCGTTGCTACTACTTGTTTCTGGTTGATTAAAGTGACTATTTACGTGCCTCTCGAGTGCGGTCTACAAAAATAAATGTGTATTTTATCTCTGAAAATCTATCCCCCCGGACGAAAATCGACATCGCACCAAGAGATTGTGGATTTTACCTGAGAACTGAATCTGCAACCACAACCGTCGACGATACATCGGAAGGGTTTATTGCCACCGTGAGACAAAACGTGTCTTTCTAGCCATCGGCGAGAACAGGAGGTTCTTCCTTGCACCTTACAACCCTGCCACTGGCAAACGAAATTGTCACCACCTGTTTGCGTGTTGATGTGCGCAGCCTGCAAAAGATAATGAATACAGAATACAAAAATAAATTATAAATTTACCAGAAATAAATTTACCTGTAAATGTTCCAGAAGACCGCCCACAGATTCGAAGCTGACTTCGCACTTATCCCAGCGACAGATCCCGCTATCGGTAGTCTGCGCTCTATCCTTCTCAGGTGCTTGCGCCGGAAATCGAATAGTAGTGGGTGCCGAGAGGATGGGAGACAATGACGGTTTCGATTCGCTGCTTCGGGAATCTTCCTCATCTATGTCATCTTCGTCGACCGGCGTTGGTTGTGCACCCTTATCCTTGGTGTCTTCCTTCGTTGGTGAGGATAGCCTCGAAATAGGTGAATCGCGACCGCCTTGCGACCTTAACGTGCCTAACATACCATTACAGCTGCTCGTCAAATTGTTGTTCTCGTTTACGTGCGGTTTCGACAGGATGCAACCTTTGAAGTCCAGTGGCATAGGTTCTCCTAGTAGCGACGGGGTAGCGATAGCAGGTGGAGAGCTGCATTTGGCCGTGTTGATACTCGCATCCGAAGTTAACCTGTTAAAAAAAAAAAAATTAGTTATTATCTGTAAATAAACCTACTTACCATGGTTCCCCTATTCCAAAAATGTTCCTTTTAAAAATATTAAAAATCTCACTCTTCTGGTGAATTAGTATTAGCATAAATTCCAGCTGTACACACATCTATAATAAAAGGCCTGGAGAATAATATCTTTAGAATGTGCAAGATTATGCACACTGCGCATTTCTCATAGAATCTTAAGATATTTTCAAAGAGGAACTGTATTAGAAGAAAATTTCGACAAGATAATATGCGATATAGACCATTATTAAGCTGGCCCCGCTCGACGATACTTATGATATGTTGGTTTTAATTAAATAATACAATTTTTACAAAATGTTTTTACATGATTTTGAAGCAACAAAATAGCAACAAATTCTAGTGTAATTAATTTTTTAATTAGAGCATTTTATATATTTTTTTCATTATGGGGGAGGGGGGCTAGCTTAATGTCAAGCTGGCCCCCCCCACTTTAAACGTAATTTTCTGCTAAACGGTTTGAGCAACAAAATCCGGACTACGGCAACAAATTAGCACATAATTAGCACTAAATTATTTAATAGATAAGATTTTATTTGGCGTTGGGGAGGGAGCCAGCTTAATATGAGTGCGATATAGCCTGTTGACAGAAATGTAAGCAAACCTTAAGATAAAACGATCCAAACTCTTTAGTCAATGTATGTGTCTAATAGCGAACGAATTAGTGCAGCACTTTAGCGAAAACATTTTGAAAATTGGAAGTCCGTAATAACAGTACCTCAGGGATGAGATCTTGGACAGATTCTTCAGTACATCGTTCGAGATTGGCAAGCTTGGCAGCGTCTTCGGCAGTTTTTTGTCCAATTTACTATTGGCCCTCGGTGCGACAACCAGCGGCGGCTTTTTCGCGGTCGCCGATGGCGATAACGTTCTCGTTTCCCAGTCGTTAGTCGAGGTGTTGCGATTAGATGATATGGCATTGCCCAGATATTTAGCGAGCCCACCCTTGTTCCTTTGCACCGTAGGTGGCCTCCGAAATTCCGACGAACTCTTCGCTACTAGCATCTCGCTCGTTTTCTTGACCTGTCAACAAAAATGTCATTGTGATGATAACAATGGAACCATTATTTTCTATTTTTATCACCTAAAGTATCATCTTAAAATTAAATCAAGAATAATCAAATAATAAATTGTTTACGCCTTCCCGTGAAAAAGCAATCAAAGTAATAACGTTCATATTAATTTCGCAATAATGTTTATATTAAAAAAATAATGAAAGAAAGAAACAAATATGGATTAATGTTAAATAAGAATTTCATGATAACAAGCAGTATTCATTAGGCAAATGTTTATATTTGGCGTGTTCAATATTTCCTGATAAACATCTCGGTAATATTGAAAATAACTTTGTTTGTGCTGAAGCAAACTCTGTATTGTTTGAATCGCAACATTGAAATAGTCTATCAGTTAGAACAAAACAATTCGATTATTCGATTAAGCAGACTGTAAAAATTTAAAAGATTGTTTATCTAGATTTTTATTTGCGCCTCTTTATTTGTTTCTTTCGTAATCATAACATAATTAATAATCTCCCGTTCTTTGTTCCGTTTCTAATATTAATTTTACCTTTGTTTATCTTTTTTTTACTATAAATAAGCGAGACACACATTTATAAAGTTTAAATATACGATGTAAATTATCGAGTATGTGTCACGTTAAATTGTCGATCGACGAGAGAGCAGGTTCCGTGAATTAATATCTGATAGGAAAAGGCCATTTCTGTATAGGCGGATTTTAAAAGAGGAAGTTAATTCAATATCTGATAAATGTGAGTTTGCCGATAAGACAAATCTGTATTTGAAGTGTCTGCGCGAAGAATGATATCTTCAATACTTCCGTTGATTTTTATCGAGAAAACATTTTCTTCTCCTTGAGAGTTTCTTTTGCTTTAGCATGCAATTGATTTTTACAAATTAAATTACAAGTTAAATGTCATCAATGTACAATTGATATTATACAAATTTATAATATTCAATTTAAACATTTGCGCAAATTAAAATCTTCAAATTAAATAAAGAACAAGTTTTTATTCACAATTGTATCCTTTCAAGAATTAACTTCTAAAAGATCCTATAGTTTCACAACTATAGATGGATATCATTATATTCGAGTGAGCGATCGACTATTATAGATACCCAACTCTCACAAATCGTTCAAGCCAGGTATTTCTTCCAAAACTCATATATATTTTTTCGGAACACAAAAGAAATCGGGCACCTGTAGCGTTTTCGGCAATTCATTTCTTACAGAAAGTGTCTTCAAACTGCGGAACCGAAAGAAATTTATCCCTGACATCCTCATTATTTCTCCCTAATATACTTTTATTACCTTCTAACATATTTACTTCTTGACATATACATATGAGCCTCTCAAATCAACTTGACTTTTTGTAAACCACGTAATATAATTTTAATATCGATCACCTGTGTAATTAATGCTCTAATATTAACAAGTTAAAAAGAAAATTGACGTTTGAGAAGCTCATATCTCGAAGTGAAAATGTGCCAACCTTCGGCTGCTGCGGCTTGATCTGCGTCTTAAAGTACTCCGTAATCTTGCCCTGGGACTCGTGATGATGCTGGCCGGCCTTTCCGTTCGTCTTGACGGCACCCCTGGAGGTGGGATCGGCGGCACCGGAGCGCGGAAGGGCGCCAGCCTCGGGCTCGCCCCTCAGCCTCTTGTACGAGGTGGTTGAGCAGGCGGTCGCCGCCAACGGCGGGGTCCAGGGCCACTGGGGCCTGGTGTTGATTTGCGACGAAGGCGCCAGCTTGGGCAGGGTCGGCAGCAACGGACTGGCGGACGTGCCGCGTAACGCGGCTACCCCTTCGTCGCTGCTGGTGCTGCACGGCGAGCCCGGTTCCGTGATATCGCTGGTGCCGCTGCTGCTGCATTCTCCGCAAGATACTGCGACGCCACTGTAACACGCAAACATGCGTCGAATCAGTTTAGTTTAAGCGTAAACGGAAGAGGACTCAAATTCGATTCGCAAATTTTTGCACTTTTCTTTTGCTTAATTTTTGACCTCTTTTGGAGAGCCCCCCCCAAAAGGATTCATCCCGGAATTTCTATTTAATCTATACTATATGTTGTTCTTACGTTTATATTTTTATCTTATTTTTATTAAATTATATCTTGTTATCCTTATATTTTATATTAAGATATTATTTTGTTATTATAAGAAAAAAAGCTGTTTCACTTTATGTCACATTATATCCTCTTAATAATAAATCTTTTCTCAATTAATTTACATACTGGTCGAATGAAGAAAATGAGATACCGAATATTAAAAGCGTATAATTAATAAATCTAACAAACAATATTTTAAAACAATATTTTACAAACAATATTTTAAAAATGCCGAGAAGAAAAAAATTGCCTCTTCATCCATCAGATAATGAATGATTCTAAATCAGTAGTCTGTAATAAAACTATATTACACGAGCAATTTGATATAAAATGGGGCAAAAATCTCCTCAACGCGATACCTTCTACCGCACAATGTAAGAAGAGATCGTTCCCCGAGATGGTTGTTGCATTTTTGAACGTGCGATCGTTACGTCGGCAAAAATTGCAAAACGGCGGTACAATTTATCCGAATAAGAGTACGGCTCGTCCCTTGCCACGTTCCGGTAGCACCTTTTTTCCCCTCCCAGCCAGGTACAAGCGAAACGAGTCCGGCGGTCGGTCGACAGCGGCTTCGTGGCGACCGCGAAGCGCCACGAAGGGAACCGGTTGGGGACGACGAGCGACGACGACGGCGGCGGCGGCGGCCACGAGGAAATTGCAAGCTTACCAAGTAATGATGTTACCACCAACGCAAACCTAATTACAGGCCCAGACATTGCCAATTGGCCTGGCCCCGTCGTTTCGGGTTCCATGGCTTTTAGTATCGCGGTATGACGACCCGTTTCGGTAATTTCCAGGCAAATCGAGGCGCGGGGAAATCAGACGGTGAAAATCACGAGACGTGCGAAGAGAGTTTATTATCGAATTTGTTAATAGCGATCTAATTTCGAGATATTCAAATAGAAGAAGCAAAAGCCACTTCTCTGCTTGTACTTGAACAAAAAGTTATTATCAAAGATATAGGTCGTATTTTTATGAATTATTAAAAAGAATATTTCGTAAAATTTCACTTTCAAATATCTAATTTTATGACAAAAATAAATTCTTGAAATCTCCAGAAATCTAAAATAACAAGAGTAAAAATAAAAAAATGTCCTTTTCTTATCTTCCATTAGATTATTGATTGAATTATTATGTGTGCATTTAGAATGCCATTTCCCTATTTCAATCTATTCTACAATTTTTTATCTTAATTTTACTATTACAAATATATTAAATTTTCACAAAAAAATTTGCCTCTATATTTAACTAAATATTTAACTAGATGATGAAAAATATACTATTTTTTATTCATTAGACTCTCTCTTATCTTTTAAATAATGACTTTTGTTATTTTAATATAAAAAAATGTGTAATTGATATTTGCTACTAAAAAAATACCACTGGAATAAAGAGAAGAGAATTTTCAATTTCAGTTTTATAAAATAAATAAATTTTAGTTTTAATAAAGATCACCTCTCATTAAATTTTTCGATATTCTACATTCGATTTGCTTTTGCTACGTCAAACTCATTCAATATAAATAGCACAAGAATCACGAGACGGTCACGTTTGTCGCTGAATGTGAATGAAAAATACGCGGATCGATAGCAACATGACAGCCGTTACGAGCCAGTATCTTTCGCATTATCGTAGGTCCTCGAAAAAGCGTGCCAAAAAAAATCTCGTACGTCTCATATTCGCTCCTCGATTGCGAACAAGTTTCGTTCCGCGCAAAAAAAAGATCCCTCGGCGTTTCGCGAGTGTTTCGTCGCGTATATCAGCGGCCGTAAATTATCCGGTCGGCTGTAAAGTGGCCGCGAAAGAGCGAAGGAAAAAAAAGCAACAACAACGTCCCCCGCCTCCGCCCGCGCTCGCGTCTCCAGATAAGGCCGGCGCGATCTTCCTCTCCCGTTCGCGGATATTTCGGGACGTTGGTCGCGCGTGGTGCGCGCGAACCACGACGACGTCACACGAGAGAAAGAGAGACACTGACCTTTCCATCCACGTTACGATAGCGCTCGCGCGACGTTTACGCAACGCGTAACCGTAGTTAGTTAGTCAGTCAGCCTCAGCGGCAAGTGGCAGAAAGACGCGCGTGCCGCGCCGTTTTATTGACTCATCGTCATTCCACGTCCATCGAATCATCCTTTCCAATTTCGAGTCATTCACGAATTCGATCGGCCCGAATACTCTCTCCTTTTCGCGCGACTACATTTTTCCTTCTTCATGAATTATCGAGAGGCGCTTAGAGCTATCGAGAATAAAATTGTCGTGTTTTTTTTTATCTCGGAACGCTTAGACATGATAGCATTGTTGATGGAATTATAATTGCCCTAAATACAGTTCTAAGTATAGTACTGATGAAACAATTTCATATCTCCATTGTTCTCGAAATAGAATTTTTTCACACGAACTCTTGTCTTTCTCTTTGCCCGACTGATTTTAATTTACATATAAAAGCGACATAAATATGAAAATTATCGCTCTTTGCACGAAATACCTACGTCAGAACAATTATGAGATTAGATCGGTTGGTGAAGAGAGACGTCGGAAATAACGACATGATTTGTCGAGGGGACGAAAGAGGAGTTTCGGACGATGACAGTCGCGGCAGAGTTGCATAACTGACCTACACTCGCGACAAGCACGCGTGCAGAGCAGTTCGCGGATCCCGTCCCTTTCGTCCGAAAGTTGCGAAAGTACGGAAGAGCTGGTTATTATTACGGCAGCGTGCCAACTCGTCCACCCACTCGGGGGACTCGAAGTTTGCGAGAGTCGAACAAAGCGGAGGTAAAGTATAGCGCGATTTCCAGAGAGCGACACGAATTTATGTTCGCGAACTGCCAACTGACGTTCTTTCTCAATTTTTTCATCGTGTCGAAAGTTTATTCGTAATAACGCGAGCGAGTTCCTTCCTAAGAAGGGATCGTAAATTGCTTTGTTAATGAAAGTTTGTTATGAAATCGCGCTTTCTATCGAACATAAATTTGATAACGCGCGTTTCTTAAATAAATTCGTCTCTTTTATGTCAAGCATATAATTCATAACATATACTAATAATTGATATAATTATAATTAATATAATAATATTTAATATAGGCATATCATGACGATTGGACTCTGATAAGTTTTTGACAGATACGCTTCTCTGGTGACGCTATCCGCGAAGAAATAATGGGTGTTTTTCGGAGCAAGGAAGAACAATAAGCATCAATTTAATTCGTCGTGCTGAGAGAAAGATATATTTTTGTGAAACCGATTTCGCAGCAGCAGCGACTGCGCTTCCATCGGATTTCGGCGACCATGTGCAAAAATCGAGAGGACCCACGGCGGCGTTAATGTACACGCTCATACATTATACATCCGCATGTTAATTGCATAACGCTCGACGTAATGACTGAAATAAATGATATTTACGGCGCACGATTTTATCGCGCACGGCTTTCGCGTAACTGACCTACGTCCATTTCGCCGATCCTTGGCCACGGTCATGCGAATAAATGTGCGAAGGTGCGTGCGCACGCGCGCGCGATGGCAGGCACGCGGAATTCCGCCCTTTCCGCTGGAAATTCGCTGGAAAGGGACGATGATAACGGGTGGGAGAAGCGAAATTGTCGACCTGCCTATCGTCGCTCGACTCCGTCGATTTCGTCTCGCTGGGGTCCGGTATAGGTCGCGGGAAATTGAGTGGACGAACCATTCCAAGACACTTCAAGGACCACGAAGTGGACCATCACGGAAGTTTAAGCCTCGATAAATCTTAGTGAAGCGTAGGCCGCATAATTGAATGGCAGGTACCTCTAAAGATGTTTATTTATTCGGAAGCAGGAGATTTAAAAGTGTGAATTTGATTAATCAATAATATATTAATTGTAGATTAATCAATAATATATTAATTGTAGATTATTTTACAATCATAATTGTTGCAATAATAATATAAAAATGTTAAATATTATTTTACGTGTAATGAATTTTATTATAGTTTTAGTGTAATGAATTTTATTATATTTATGTCAAAAGCTTAATTTGAAAAAATTTACATCTATTTAGAATTGATATCATTATTATATAAATCTATATAAAAATGTCATCATTATTGCGTGCTACATATTCTATAAAAATAAATATGCGAACATCGCTGACATGCATCTTTGTATACACTTGTTCTATTTTTTGACATGTCCAATTTATAGATTGATGTTTTTAAATAAATATGATTGTTAAAAATAAACACAAAGAAATATAAATTTTTCTTATGTTAGTTATAATAAAATAAGAGAATCGAAGAGAGAAAGAGAAAGAAGCAGTAGATATTAAATTTTTCATATTCGATAAACGTTGCTTAATCAGATCACTACTTTTTAATTTATTCGATTTTCGCTGTCGTTAAAAATTTACCGAATTTTTAATTTTATTCCTACTTATTTATATCAAGTATTAAAAGAAGAGTATAGGTACTTTCCCGGGGCAGGAAGTATAAATCATGCCGGCCCTCGAGGTACAACGGCCGACGAAAAGGTTTTTCGCCGCGCCACACATAATTAGACTCCAACCGGTAATCGTCGAGAGTTTACATAATGTATTAGCGCCGGGTTGGCGATGCGGCTGGCTCGTACGTGCGAGTTGGCGAATTAACGTGACTTAAGCTGTAATATGCTCGAAAAAGCGGCGAACGAAAATAGTCACACGTGCGATCATCAGCATCGCGAACGTTATGCACACATGTGTGTATATATATGTGTGTGTGTGTGTGTGTTTTGGGTGTGTGTTTTGGGTATGTGTTTTGGGTGTGTGTTTGTGTGTGTGT